ACTCATGAATTATTAGGTAGAAAGAGGATAAACTTTTAACATCTTTTCATTCATGCTTAGTTTTTCATGGGAAGAACGATAGAAAAAAATTTCTACTTATTATGAAAGATGAACTGAATGACTTTTATATAAATAAATTCATGGATTCGACGGAAATAGTTCTGAAGGGGAAAAAGTTTTACCTGAGAAAATTTTCTGCGTCTTTCTGATTTTATCGTTGACGAAACTAATCAAAACTCTTGTATATTATTTTTAGTAACGATTTCATGATTAACAATTGACACTTAATGAACTTTTTTCTCACCTTTCTAATAAACTCGCAACATTATTGGTAAAAAAAGGGAAAGAGAAAGACGGAAAATGTATTACAATCAGTTCTCAACCTGTCAATCAGTTCAGTGTTCAGGGTGAAGTGGATCAGTTTCATGATCTTCTCAGAATGATTGATTGAAAAATAAGTAAATATATAATAATCTGCCATCGATAAGGTAAAAAAAGAGCTCAATATAATTCTGACAAAATAGAATCCAAAATTCAGGTAAAAAACTGTTGATAATTGTTGTATCAACAGTGTATTCATATGATACTAACATTGAATTATCATGAATTCGTGGGTAGAGTTGATTCAATAAAGATATTATTCTGTTCATGTTCATAATAAATGTATTACAATGAGAACTAGAAATTTGAATATCAATGTAACTTTAGCATTCTTTCACATTGTATAACATTTTTCTACCTTTTCTAATATTTAACAATCAGTAAATCTAATTATCTTCATTTACCTGAAATCTGATTCTCTGGATGAGAAATTTTTCTTCATGAATATAATCTTGAATTTCATGTCAATTCTACCTCACTGATTATGTAATAAAAATTTACGTTACAATTAAAATAGAAAAGTCGAAAGAAATTTATTATTCAACTAAATGTCACCAAATTTGATTTTCCATCAGTGAAAATGTTGAGTTTACTTTTCATTCCGGAACCAAAACATGACAGTAAAAATCATATTGTTTTCTCCTATTTAATACCATAAGAGAAAGGAAAAAAGTTCCATGTATTCAGAGAGAGAGAGAGAGAGAGAGAGAGAGAGAGAGAGAGAGAGAGAGAGAGAGAGAACAACATTCCTTGGGAGTTGTTAAACTATCTTAAAACTGTCAAACACGAAAGTTAAAGTTGTTTAGTTTTCCTAACCGGAAGTTTACCTTTAAATTATATCGATAGTTTAACCAATAATATGAAATTTATTTCATCTCATTAACAAGTATATCACTTGATGGAATGAGAGAAAAGCTCAACTTAGAAATTATTGAAACCATTTAAATGGATTCTGATCCATTGAGGATGAAAAAGTGATGAAGATAATCCGATTGAAAAAGAGAAAATATTTTCTCACCTTACAGAAGATTAGGTTTACCAACAAGAGAAACTAAAACTCTTCTTGACTAATGGTCAACAAGCCAACATCATCTTCCTCTTTTCTACCGCATCTTTTCCTCTTCCTCTTCTCATCATCATCATATTACTGCTTCTGACTTTGGATTATATATTTTCTTTCTCTTCGATTATTTTTTTTCTATTCTCTTACTTTTTTTGTTCCTCTGTTTTCACATCTAAAAATGAAGTTATCCTCATCTTCTTATTCTCATCATCATTGCCATCTTCCTGTTTTCTCTCTCTCTCTCTCTCTCTCTCTCTTGCCCTTGACTTGTGATTGATTTTCAAGATATTTTACTTTTCGATTTTTGTTCTTTCGATGTTCTTTTCATCTTAACTTTTCCCTATCATCATCTTCATCATAAGTAGCCTCTTCTCTTCAAAGGGATTGATTATTCTGGTCCAAAATCTCCCCTGACATCGCTTCTCCATTCGTTGTCCTCCCAATATTTACTAACATCATTTCCTTTTATCTTATATAAACTTATCCCTTTTTTTGTCATCAAACTTATCATCATAATCATCATAAGCTTACTCTTTATTTCGGTGAGCATTTACCGTTCTCTCTCTCTCTCTCTCTCTCTCTCTCTCTCTAAGTCCACCTAAAATTCACTTGAAATCTCATCTTCTCACCTTTTTTGTTTCATTTTTTTTGTTTTTTTTCTCATCTTGTTTCTTTTTTCAGAATATTATTTTTCCTTTTTCATCCAACATCTTCCTTATTATCTGTTCATCTTCATGGTGAAATATTTCACCGTGTTGGCTTAGTCATGGACAATATTATCGTCACATCTTATAACTTTGTTTAGTCTCGATTGGAATCAGAATATCATCTTATCCTATTTCATAGCATTTGTCTCAAGAGAATCGAAAGAAAAATTTTCTTCTCAATAATAGAATTGCGATTGTATCAAATGTTGATTCTTATTCTTCTCTTTTTTTATATCTTCTTCAATTCTCTTATTTACCTTTAGATTTTATCATGTTTTCCTTTTACTTTCTTTTTACTCAAACTAATTCTTTTCACATTAAATCCTATGATAATCTGGCAACTAAGAATCAACCACTGACATTGTTGTTACTTTTCACTTGATTGTACTTAATGTTACTGAAAATCTTCAGGTGAAAAAGTGTTTTGATTACAGGAAACAAGAATCACTAGAGATCATCAAAGTCATTGAATAACATTCATGATGATGATTGTAAACAGGGAATGATATTCATCCTGTATGAGAATCAATTTCCTCATTCAAGTGAATCATTTCATGAGAACAAATTAAAACAAAGAAACTGAATCAATCTCCATAAGAATCTATTTGGAAAATGTTCTCACCGAGTCCCAGGGTATTCCCTGAATTAGAAATTTATTTTCATTCCTTGTAAATCTTAGCTTAGGATTCTGATTCCATTGTTGTGTCATCACTCCATTAGTATCAATTGATATCAGTTACAAACTCCCAGGGATTAAAGACGAGAGAGAGAGAGAGAGAGAGAGAGAGATTATATTAATAACAAAACTCACTTTTCACTCTCTTTGTGCTGAGAGAAAAAGGAAAAAAAATCTCTCCTCTTTCTTATTCATCACCCACGTCAGAACTTATGAAACTATTATATTTCTTTCTGCTAACGAAACAAAGATGGAGAAAAATGTTCTCTTTCCATCATCATTATCATCATGTTTCCATTCTGTTCTTTCAATACCATTTTCTCTCACTTCCATATCTCACCTTCTCATTAATGGCCTAAAATTTTTTCCATTTACAAGTTATCCTTTTCTCTTCACAGAGAATTTAACTCACACCGAAAGAGATACAATTCACACACTACATGAGAACGAATGAGTTGTAAGAGATGCAAAAGTGTGCAGAATAAGATCAAGTTAATGTTGATTTTTTTTCTTTTCTCCAAAAAAAGCTCTAAAAATGAATAACATTTTCTCTGGTTGATTCAGATAAATTTTATTCTTCTCTATTCCATTTTTTTCCGGCGAACAAAACTTTCATCTTCTTTTGTCTTTGCCTGTTTGACATTGGAATAATTCTTTTGTTACAGTCGAGAATTTGACTCAATTCGAGAAGGAGTAATTTCAACTTGGAACTTTTTTTGTTTCTTCTTCTTCACCGAATCTCTTAACAAGAATTTATTCTGACAGACTGAATATCCTCATGGAAACAGAGCTTTAGATGAAATTAGGTTTTCCTTTCTTATGAGAATATCTTTTTTTCTCCTTTCATTTTTTAGAATTTTTTTTCTACTCTCTTAATATATATGAAAGAACAAGTTTTTTCTTCTCACTCACCATGGAATAGTTTAAACGATGGAAAAGGTAAATTGGCTTCATGAAGAAAATTCTTTGCTAAATTCAATGAATATTATAAAGTTCCAAGGGTTAATCTATGATTTCGATGTATCTTTTTCACTTGTAATGGTACAAGTTAATGTCTTCATAAGGATCGAACATTGAAATCGCTCTACATGGAAAAGGTTCTAAAGTTTATGTTGATGATGAGAAAGAATATTAAAAAAGAAAAGATAAAGGGGGTGGTAAGAAATGAAGAAATTTTCGACAAAAAGAATTTTTTTCTTCCTCTATTCACATAATAATAATATCTTCATACAAATTTCACGAATTTGTAGTTGGATCTTTTCGCAGTATAATAGGTTTTTCTTCGTCTTCGCCTTGTAAACTATGAATATAAATCTTTTTCTTTTGTCATTCGTCTCTTCATCTTCCTTGTCTTCTCTTTTCTTCTTGCAACACTGATCATTTTATCATCTTGATGTCGAAAAAAAAAGAGGAAGAGAAAAAAAGAAGCAACAAGATAAAGAGACAGAGACAGAGAAAGGAAGTAAAAAAAAAGTTCTTTTCTCTTCATCTTAACCGCACTGAACAATAAATGAACTTCTATCCTCCCATTTCGCTACCTGAACAATATTATATTCAATCACTTTCAGACTTTGAACCATAATTGAATCTGATTTCTTCATTATCATCAAATGTTTTCCATGCTCACTCCCAGTGAATTCAATTCAATATCATAGTTAGTAAAAGGAAAGATCCTCATGTTCATTAGGGTAACACATTATTAACAGGGGATATTTATGGAACGATAATAAGATCTCAACATTATCATCATAATTCTGAACCTAAAGTGATTATTAAATATTATATATTCAATATATTAGAAGAAGAGAGTAAATGAAATGAAGAAAATTATGAATTCGAAAGAGAAAATAATATATTTTTTTTTCTCTTCTCTTTTTTCTTAATCGAAAGTAAAAGTGGAAAGAGATAATTCTGTTCTAATAAACTATTCTGTTGTCATTAGAATGATGCAACTCAAGATGATAATGATAATTTCATGTGACAGAGAAAATTAAACTTCTAAAAGTGTTAATAGTTGATTATTATTAAAAAGAAGGCGAAAAAAAAGTTCAACCTAAATACTAATCGTTGATGATGCAAAAAAAGTTATTAAATTTGATTGTTGGCCCAATTTTGAGAAATGAGAGTAATAAGCAAGTTAACTAATCTTTTAACTCTTATAATTGTTTCATAGTTCCACCTAAATCAGTGATTATTGTTGATTCCAATGGAACCCGAATGGAAGGTGTAATTGGCCCATTCCTAAGAGGAACCACCCTGAGACTTACATGTAAAGCTATTGGGGGTAAGTTATCTGACTGACCACATGAGCGACCATTATATTGAATAATGGTAACCATAGCTTGCAAATTGATCTTGTCAAATGCATTTAGCTTTCAATCATCAAAAGTTAATCATCGATTGATCAACTTGCTGATTCTCGTCAATTCACTGAACTAGTTGACCAACAATACTAAAAAAAACTGGCTACATAATAGAAAGTTTCAAGTGTTAATACATAATAGTATTAGCATTGAAATTTGTAAAGCTCCAAGTGGTCAAGGTAAATTTGTTGACCATATTATCAAGATTTGGAAAGTTATGGAAAAAGCTGATGTTTTGGTTGATAAAGAAAGTCGATCAGGGAAAATGTTAATTCATTGTAATCAGATTGAAATCCAACTATTTTTTACAATTGAAATTCAGATAATCTATTCTAATCTACATGAGAATGGTGGTAGGGAGATTGGTGAAAAAAAGTTTCGAACAAAATTCTGCATGAAATTGTTTTCTTCCTTTTTTCTCCTCAAATTCTATGGCTCATTAAACATCTCAGGGATCATTAAATATTCTTACTCCATCTACTTATTCTTGATCTTTTCTCTTTTCTACTTCATCATCATCATCATCTTCCTACCAAAGATCCTTTAATCATAGTCACTTTCTATGCATCCTTAGTAATGTGTTTTTATGCAAAATATTTTCATCTCTCACTCTCTCTCTCTCTCTCTCCCATACTCTCCCATGGTTATCATAATAGTAATCACGATAATAATAGATAGTTACTGAAACTTATTGAAACTTATCATGAGGCATAATAAGGCAATCAGTTTTTTTTGAGAATCACCATCATCCTTGCATGAGAATTGAAAAACATTGTATGAATAGATGCTTCAACTATCCTATCAATGGTGAAAACATTCAAACAACTCAATAGTATTACATGGTAACACTTACATGATTCAGGTACAGAAAATTTGTGATCTGGAACAGAGGAAAAGATTAAAAATGATGAATGAACTTTTCTTTTTTCTCCTTATAATAATATCACCATGATAATCATAATTGTGATATTTTATTTTTCATTCAACATCTAATGATTTTCTTATGAATTTTTAACTGAGTGTTTTTTTTTGTTTTAATTTAATTAAGGTGATCCCTCGCCTAGTATACGCTGGTGGAAGGGTGGGAACATGGTTGATGATTCCTATCAGATTTCACAGAATCGAACAGTTTCTAATGAATTTATCGTGGAAAATATCGATCGTGATAACTTATTAACCGTATTAACGTGCCTAGTTTCTAATACTGACCTTATACCGCCCAAAGAAGTTTCAGTTTCAATTGATATGATTCGTGAGTTAATTCTGAATCTCTCATGAAAGTTTCATGTTAAATCTCTCTCTCTCTCTCTCTCTTCCAGTTGAACCTCTTGGTGTTGAACTTTTGCTACAAAATACTTTTCTACCTGCAAACAATGTAAGTGACCTCATCTGCTTATCCTATGGTTCTCGTCCACCCGTTCAAGTGAAATGGTTCAAAGATGATGAGCCTTTGAATGTAACTACAAGTTTAATCCTCTCCAATGACGGTAACTCAACAACCTCAAAGTTTCAATATAAACCGACCATAGAAGACAATGGAAAGGTCATTTCTTGTTCAGTGGTCAACACAAAATTATCAATCTCACCATTAAAAGATGAAACAATTCTCAATATTCACTGTAAGTTTCATATAATAGATCAACAATTTTAAGGTTCATCTTTTGAGTTTTGCTACAATTTAAAAATAACAACAAAAATTATCTCACTTACCCTTTTCAAGATACACCTCAAGTATCAATCGTCTTAGGTACTAGCCTTCAATTGGACACAATTCGTGAAAACACCGATGTCTATTTTGAATGTAATGTTCGCGCCAATCCTTGGGTCACTGAGGTCACTTGGCTTTTTGAAGATGTTCCTCTTTACACCAATCCCTCGGCTGGAATAATTGTCTCCAATCAATCACTTGTCCTTCAACAAGTTAAACGAAGTCAACGTGGACATTACCAATGTTCAGCAAGGAACAGTCAAGGAACCGGATACAGTGAAAAATCATATCTCAAACTAAACTGTAAGTTGTAATATTTTTTCGCCACTCATTCATCAATGAATTGAAAACTGTAAGGCTGGAAATCGAAACACTACAATTAGGTATCTTCGAGAAACTCAGAGAACAAATAACCTCTAGAAGCAGCATGATGACCTTTTGGGCGTTTTTGCTGATCTCTCAATCTTATCTCTTTAATGATAATCATACAAATATCTCACTTAATCTACATTAAGACTAAAAGATAAGATATTGAATGATGTCCGAAGAGTAACAACTTTGCTCTTGATATCTTATGATGTCACTTTAGTTTCCCCTTCATCTTATAATGATAATAAATTTGTTTCCTGTTCCGTTTTCTCATGATTCTAATTACAACCCAAACAATTAAAGTTATTTCACTTCTCATAACGTTGTGCTTGTGATTCAATTTACTTTTGAGTTTTGATTAGTTACTAATTTAAATTGGTGTACATGGTGTGAAGTTCATGTGATCTGTTTATTAAAAATCTTAAAATTCAAACTCTGAGTTAGTTTCAGCTCTTTGAAATTTTTATTATCCATCAACTGTGTTGTGTTACTGTGAATTTGACTGGAACTCCGAGCATCAGATTAGTTCATCAGTCGTGAATCAACAAGTGTCTTCAATAAATCTTCTAATCGGTGAGTTGACCAATGGTCATTTACAAATTTCTGTCAATTTTTCGTTGAGCTGGTGAATGTGAGACAATAAGAAGACTACAATTGATCAAAATTTAGGTTGAAATTTTTTCTCTTTAAAACTTGACGAATTTATTGTTCAATTCTACATGATAATATATTGAACTATCCTGTGACTATCGTTTTCTAAATACATGTATAGTTGAAGTTGATTTAATTAACTACTCTTTGACCACTGACCAGTAATTCTGTTTTCAATATGCAAAAAGATTAGAGTCAGAATTTAATTTCTAACAATATATTCGAGATGAACTCGATCTGAAATCTTATCTGTCTTTTTGAATGATTTTACATGAAATCATTTAATGTCCAGATAATTACAGGAAATTGATCATTAACTTAACGAATATATTTCTCAATTGGTAACTATGAATATTGATGATCAGACAATGGTCAACATGGTCTGATATCAGTTCCAAGGGAAATCTGTTTCCCGGTCATTTCTCAGTCTCCTTTAGAATCGATTATATAATCGATAGCAAATATTAATAGAAAAGTGTAACATTGCCTTCGAACATTTCATCTTGTTTTTTATCATTCTCTTTACCAAACTGGACCATGGTCAGAATTTTTTTCTCTCTCTCACACGATACAAAATAAAGATAAACAACAATAAATGGTCAACAGAATAACTTGAAACTGACCGTTAGGTATTGTATTCTTGTCATTTTTCCTTTCGGTTTTTTCTTCCATTTCTACTTTTATTTCTTGATATTCAATAATATCAATGATGTTTATTGTTATTTATCATCATGTTTATTTTACTTGACTCTCGATTGACTTTTCTGGTCAATCAATTACCGGACATAAGTTAAGATACAATGTGATCAAATATTTATACGAATACAGAGAAAGTTTCATTCTTATTCTGAAAGTTTACCTTTGATTCCAGTTGATAGATAAAAATCTGACCATTGACCATCTTCCCTCGTTAGTTTGAATACATGTTATTCAATGATAACTTTGAACCTGAGTGACAATCTGATCTAATCAACTTACAATTGATATTAAATTGATTCCATCACAATTGTAACACTCACTTTTCATCGAGTCAAATGTCAATCACCTTTCGGGTTAAAATGTTATACGAATTGTTTATTGCTTAGAAAGGTTAGAAATGAATTGAACTGATTCATTGGCGATCTCTATGAGTTCTGATGAACCATTTAGCTAATTTATTTTTGCTCCTTTATTTGTTGAGACGTAGTTACTATCATGGTAAAAATTGATTATCATCATTATCAAACTACTGATGAAACTGATACAAATATATGTCAATGTTAAATCATCCAGTTAGCCGAAAGTTATGTTATCACAGTGAAAATGCTTATGAAAAGTTCAACATTCCCACCATGGAATCTCAAATCTTTCAGTTTAATCTCAGGGAAGGAGAAATAGATAAAATTTATTTCCAGTCTGGTGAATCAAAAATCTCATTCCAATCTCATGAAGGAAAACTTCACGAATACGAACAAATCGAAACAAAATACTCTCTCTCTCTCTCTTTATCTTTTTCCTTCTGTTTTAATAATCCTGAAAATGATCATCATGTTTATCATGATGATTGTCCTTTTGTCCAGTTTCATTTTCTCATGTCAAGTCTACGGATAAATGACCATTAATATTTAGATAACAGTCTTAAAGCATATGATTATCTATCTGAACAAAAAATAACAATGACTTCTTGATTTACTCATGATAATCATCATGATGAACATTATGATTTATCGTAACGATTATCATCATAATTACATTGTATTCATTATCAGCTCATCAATAGTTTCAGAATCTAATTTCTTATCCATCATGTTTAACCTCATGTTTTCACAAAGATTCTGAACTCATTCAGCATTTGAATTTCTAATGTCTTTTGGTCAAATATTGAAAGAATCAAATTTGACCTCTACCGGGAGTAAATTTATCATTGTTAAAGTCGATGACCATTAGATGATAAAACCGGAAGAGATTAAGAATCAATTTTTTTTTCGAAAAGTTCTATATGATAAATCAATAGTAAATATCTTTTATTTATCAGGTTAAGAGAAAGACTTAATCATCATCATGATTATCAAAAATGATGACCAAATGGACACTGGTCATAAAAGCTAATAACGATTATCAGTTAATAGTAATAGTAGAGAAAAAAAATCTCTGTAGCATCCAACAGTTTCCAAGGAAAATGTTGAATAGAAAAAAAATATCTCGCCAAAACGAATTGAGTTTTATTGTTGTTGTGTCCACTGTTGGTCAATCTGAGTAATGATTCAATGAGTAACCTAATCTCATATCGAATTATATATTTTTCTTGCTTCCATTCTTTATAAAGTGTAACTTGTTTAATCCTCTTAATCTTATCCATATAAGACACACACTTAATCCATAACTCATTAAGTTTATAATCTCATCCCCAGTTCTCATCAATTTTATCTTCTAACGACATGATTATCAATTTCATCCGATTACCTTGAACACTTTCCATGTAACATGATCACAATTAGTAGATTACTTTTAAGTTGAACTGTAAAATTTTATTCGATATCATGATAATCAGTTGTTACCTTTAATGACCTTGAAATATTAGTAACAGTGAAAGTACAATAAGAACTTTAAATTGTGTTAGAATTGAAACTTTGTTTCAATTTTTTTTCTGCTATTTCTATTATCAATCTTATTGGAAATTGATCTGTATTAAAATGTATCAGATTCCAAACCAGAATAATATTGAAAGTACCAGAATCGTAAAGATATCATGAAATCTATTCAGGTTCATGGAGATGAACTTTAAAAATAAATAAACCAAATATAACTGAAAGAAATGATCTTTGGTTAGCATTTAAATTGAATAAAATCGGAGGTTGAAGTTTTCTTTTCTTTTTTATCATGACTCTTCATGATACTCGTGAGATATATTACCATGATTCTGAATTTGAAACCGTTTCATTTTTCAACATAGATAAAGGTAATCAGAGGAATAATAATGATTCTTATTAAATGATAACAGTATTAAAATGATCTTTTCTCAGTTTGTATTATTTTCCAAATCATTTCAGGATAACATCATGATTCCAACATTTCTTTCGGTGTAACTTTTAGCTAATACCTTTAGATTTCACTTTCGAATCTGTATCTCTGAACTTTTCAACTAATTCTTTGTTGAATTTGAAAAAAATAAGAAACATCGAGGGTGTGGTTAGAACTTTTCATCATATTCATTTATTCCGATTCATTTCTTAGGTTCTTTTATCGTCCATGAGTTCAAAATCTATTGCCAGGTACAGAATTTTTCCAATCCTCACCTAAGAAATTTAATATTATCATAAATCGTTGAACTTTGGTAACTTTCAATTTCTAGAATTATTGCTTACACATCGACACCAAATCTGTACGAGTTTCGTCACAAAAGCTATAAGAACTTTTGAATCATCGAATCGAAATCTCTTCAGATCTACGAAAAGTTGGAAATTATTTTTTCTTTTCTAAAAGTTCCAAGTCAAAATACAAGAATATTATTTCCGTTTCTTTTTCTGCCATTTTTTTCTTTTCCTCTCAATGTTATCTTCTTATTTTCATCGCTGAGAAAACTTTTCTTTCCAGCAGCGAACTAACATCATTATATTCGTATTTCAAGTTAGAACTCTTCTTTTTTTTTCATTCTATTCCATAGAATCATCTTTCCAACTTAAGTCATAGTTTTGGGTTATTTTTTTCATCTTTTGCTTGATTTCATCTGCAACCTCCTTTTCCTCCACCATCCAACCCACTTTTGTCACTCCCTTGTTACTTTTCACTCTCTCATCAAGTCTATTATATCAAATGACAGTTCCCCATGAATGTGTTACACCTCAAACTATCAAGTAGGAACCGACATCACCCTTGATTGGTGTTACTTTTACACGGAGAGAATTCAAATTGGCTTATGTAACCAGCATAATGGAAAAAGTTTTTCAAATATTATTGCCTCTGATTAGCGTTATCAACTTAATCACTTTGCAGTTGAACAACTTAATCCAATTTAGTGTAATGTGAATGATAAGATTTAAGAACTTTTTTTCTCTCGTCCAACTCGTAAGTTTCAGGTTCGATGAATTGATTTTTTTTCCTTTCCATCGACTTGTATTGAATCTTGTTGATTTGTAAATGATAATATTAGTTTGACCATCTTTTGTTGGTCACAATTAACTAATGTTAGAATTGAATTGAATTGATTGTTGGGCTTCCTCATCATCCTACTCCTATTGATTGGTTTAATATTGTTGTTGGATTATCATCATCATCATCATCATGTGGAAGTGTCATCATTATCTGGACAAATGAAAATGATAATAACAATAAAGTTTAATTAAATCAACGGATGAAAAGTAATTGACCACAAATCTGATTACATTCAATTGGCATTCACTTTGATAGTTGATTCAATATCACCACCCACCTTTATCCTCATCCTTTTGTTGTTGATGACCCTTTTTTTTATCACCCATTTCAT